TCTCCCTCTCTCCCTGCCCCTCCCCTGCTTGTGCTCTCTCTCTCTAGAAATAAATAAACATTTAAAAATTTTTTTTAAAAAGCAATGGTGATCATCATGCTTTGGGAGAGGGAAGGATCGCACCAAGTGACACAGAGTGAGTAATATTTAATCTATTTTAAAATCTGGAGTAAATATAGCCTAGTTTATGATTTTATAATGTTAGGTGCTCTGAATAGGGTTGTTGGCATTACTCTCCATTCTCCACATATTTGATGTATTTCACAATGGAATTAAAAAGAAAGGAGACAGAACAATTGTTATTTGCAAATGATGAGATCATATAACAATAGCAAAGGGAAACTGTTAGGACTAATAAAAGAGCTTAGTTAGATACCAGATAAACACCCCAGAATCAATAGGATCTCTATTTATTTGCAATAACCTGTGTAAATGTTTGATGGGGAGAAAGCAAACCCATTTTCAGAAGCCAATTAAGTTATAAAATATCCTGGAAGGGTCTCCACAAAGAACTAGGCAGGGCCTACATTAAATTACAAAACTTTACTGAGCAATTTTATCAACTCTGAACCATGATGTATGTTTTATATCTCAACATTATGGTGCTCAGATACGGAATTGGAGGCTTACACAGGTCAGAGAGGGTTTGGCTAGTCTCTGATGCGTATAGACTTGGAACCTAGTCCCTTAAGCTACTTCCTCAGACCCAGAAGCCAGAAGGTGCATTTACACATTTCCCAGCCTTTGGAGGTTCACGGACCTTCACTGCCCTGAAACAGACCCCTGCAGCTGAAGAAATTTCTTATGCATGCCTCACTACAAGGAGCTTTGAACAGTGTGGGTTACACCTCAGTGTGATGCATGAAACCAACCTTCTCTTTTCTGCTACACTAGCTGCCTTATTTCAGAGATCAACCCCCTGACCTTCCATTAGAATTCATTAGATGGTATCTCATTGTGGCTTTGATTTGTATTTCTCTGATGATGAGTGATGTTGAGCATCTTTTCATGTGTCTGTTAGCCATCTGGATGTCTTCTTTGGAAAAATGTCTGTTCGTGTCTTCCACCCATTTCTTCACTGGATTATTTGCTTTTTGGGTGTTGAGTCTGACAGCTTTTCTCCTATTTTTTCCCCTGGCTGATTGTCTTGTATAATCTCCTTCCCCAGTCCTAACCCTCCCAGAAAGGAGACCCGCCAAGCAGAAATTCCTTCCCAAGTGGAAAGGGTAAGTTAATTAATTAATTACTTTACACATGCTCTTGGGCAAAACGCTATCCTCCTTTCAATTAACAGTACAAGAAGCCTGGCCTGACATTTTGGCTCAGGGTTTAGAATACAAACTTTTTCTCTTGCCTTTCTTGCACTTTCCAAAAACTCATGAGCTCTACAACAAAAGCGGTGTGAGAACTCAGAGCCCCCTGATCCCATTAGATGCACCAGGAGGTTTCAGATGGTGCTTGGGGGACCGGCCAAAACTGATCTGTGTATACTTTGGTTTCTTCTTGGTGCCAAAGATGGTCTTTCAGGAGGATGAAGTTCAGGTTTCAAGAGGTTCTCTTTTACCGACAAAGCCTGTGGGTTTCCCCCATGTGTGGCAGTCAATAAGGTAAATAATTTCAATCTAAATTTTAAATTAGCAAAATGTGGATAAAATCAGCAAAGTGCGGATTGGAGAAGTGTACCACCCAAGCTAAAGAGCAGCAGTTAACTCTCGGAAGAGGCTTGGGGGTTTCAAAGATGAGGGGTCTTCTACCGTACGACCGGCAGGTGGCAGCAAAATCCAAGAAAAGAAACCAGGTTCCTTCATTTCTTAGATCAGTTTCAACGTTCCTAATCTTCCAAGTTAAAAAAAAAACCCTTTATATTCAAACAATTTGCTGGGAGTAAAAAATATGGGCTTCACGTGAGAGCGGGCTACTTTTAGGATCCACTGGTTAAAAAACATATAAATGTCAAGTTACAATGAACTCACCGCTACTTTTGAAGGAATTTATATTTTACTATTACACAAAAATAGCCACGTGCTCTTGAAATGTAGAAATATGGCAGCATATCTGTGCATGTGGAATGTTTACATCCATTCTCAGACAATGCTTGGCATGCCTATGCATTCTCAGACCCTTGGCAATAACTGTATGGTCCCCTAGGGTCCTGAGTCCATTGGAGATCACTGCTTTCATGAACCCTGGCTTCCTCCTCACTCCCACCCGGAAGCTTGACACAAGTTTCCAGAGGCTGAGAAAGTTTAAAAGAACTGAGTGGATCAGAAGTTCCCATTTTCCATGTACCTAAGTCTAAGAACTCTAAAACCAGCCTGTTGCAAACCATGAGGCTCTGGCATTGCAATGAACTTTTCAATGCAGAAGATACCATGTGACACAGGGCCTCTGTGGGAATGGAGAGTTTCCCAGTGAGACACTATCTGGAGTTAACCAAGGGTTTGGGATTGGAGTCCAACTGTTCTATTTACGTTGGATGCGTGATTTGGGCAAGCCAGTCAGCCTCTCTGAGTTTCTGTACCCCCAAGCATATTCCTTGCCTCCTGAAGGGTTCCATCATTTTTGTGAGGATTAAATGTAATAGTCTAGGGGCACCTGGGTGGCTCAGTCGGTTAAGTGTCTGACTTGGGCTCAGGTCATGATCTCGCGGTCCATGGGTTCGAGTCCTGCGTCAGGCTCTGTGCTGACAGCTTAGAGCCTGGAGCCTGCTTGGGATTCTTTGTGTCTCCCTCTCTCTCTGCCCCTCCCCCGCTCATGCTCGCTCTCTCTCTCTCTCTCTCTCTCTCTCAAAAATAAACATTAAAAAATAATAATAAATAAACTATTAAATGCAATAGTCTATATAAAGCGCTTAAGGCAGCTGCCAGCACACAGAAATGCTTCACAATGTCAGCGGTCATGGTTATGCTTATAAGCCTCATTAGCCATGTCATACTATGGTCACTACTACTAATATCAGAATAGAATATCAATGAACATTGGAAACTTCATAAATGAGGTCTTTTTTACTGACTCGGTCTGTGCAGGGAATGGTGTCACATCATGGGTGACATCTGGCCATCCGTAATGTCCCTTAGTTTCCAACACTTACAAAGAGTTCTTATAAAGCAAGGGCAACATTTCTTCCTTGGCAACGTCAGCACAAAGTCGCCTGACTTAACAGCAAAGAGCCCTGAGAGTGAGAAATCCCGGGGTAACTGCCATCCATCCCCACTAGTTGCCATCGCTGGAGTGACCACTCTCAGCAGATTTCAGTGACTGAAGTGTCTGCACAGAGGCCGTGTGCACGCGTGGGCAGTAAGTGTGTAGATGTTTGTGACTGGACTTCTACATTTAAACAAACATCATCCATGGGGTGCCTGGGTGGCCATCAGGCTGAACAACCACCTCCTGATTTGGGCTCAGGCCACGATCCCAAGGTCATGAGATCAAGCCCCATGGCGGGCTCTGAGCAGAGCATGGAGCCCGTTTGAGCTTTTCTTTTTTTTAAGGTTTTTTTTTTCTTTTTTAAGTTTATTTATTTTGAGAGAGACAGAGACAGAATGGGGGAGGGACAGAGAGAAAGGCAGAGAGAGAACCCCAAGCAGGCTCCGCATTGCAGCACAGAGCCGGACGTGGGGCTCAAACTCACGAAACTGTGAGATTATGACCTGAGCTGAAACCAAGAGTCGGACACCTAACCGACTAAGCCACCCAGGCGCACCAAGATTTTCTCTCTCTCTACCCCTCCCCTCTCTCTCCTTCCCTCTCTCTCTCGAAAAAAAAAATTAATAATTTTTTTTTTTAAACACATCATCTGAAAGTCTGAATTCCTTGTCCACTCATGCTTGGTCCTAACCTTCTTCCCCAAAGGTCTCATATTTGTAGAAATAATATTCCCCTTTTCATCTGACACTCTCTGTCTCATCCTAAAGAGCAGCGAATGTTTGCTAAGGGGCAGCCTATCAGAGCAATCCGGGCTAGCCTGCAGCAGACATCCTCCTATCCTCCCTGGACTGCACCCAGACACAGGCTCCTCTCCCAATGTGGCTGACTGACGGCCAGGGCCACTTCTCTCAGATGCTTAGCTGGGCACAGGGACCGTGGGACCCCATGCACCGCAGGGCGGAATTCTTGGTGTCAAACCTTGTACAGAGGTGGTAAATATGGAGTTTACATCACTGACACTGAACTACCTGGGTATTTCTGGTGCCGCCATGCAGCCTGGCTTGATGAGCCTGCAAAGTGCAATTCAGGAAGGGAAACAGGAGTAAACGTTCAGCTGAGTAAATCATGTGGTCTGGGGTCAGCTTTAATGTACTGTCCTGACCCATCTGGGGGCCTGCAGAGACCGGCCTCAAAGAGGCATTCTTAAAGCCCAGTGCGGGGGACGGTCCATGTCACTGGTCCCAGGAATGGGAAGAGAAGTAAAAGGGATTGATGAGACAGCCCCACAAAGATGTGGATTCTTGCAAGACAGCACTGCTTTTGCCCCTCTTTATGGCAGTGAGCCATGCAGACCCACCCTCGGAAGTAATATTAGACGAAAGAATCATATAAGATAGCATCATATCAGCGTCTGGAGTCGCTTCTAGAGAACTTCCAAACTCAAAGAAAAACCTCAAAAAACAGACATTGGTTTGGCATAGGGATCTCAACCCTCTGGGCGGGCCCTGTCTCTAGGCAGGCATGGGTAAGAGGCCACAGCCCTGTGGGCATCTCCATTAAAGGTGTGAGGTCTCAGGAAAAGTGGTCTGATTGCCTCTCCTCAGTCAAACGTCCCCATCCTTGGATGAATCAGCCTCTAGCCAGGAGATTAGGGATGACTGGAGGCCAGCACCACACAGAGCCCCAGGATGCCTCATTATATCTCTGGCAACAGAGTAAAGCCATGGTACTACAATAGCCTCGGAGCTCATCCTCCTGCCATATTGAATTCTCTTTCCAGTGGCCCCCCTGCCAAGAACAGTCCCCACAGACTATCACCTTGATCCGGGGAGAGTCCGTGGTCTCTCACTTACTTGTCGTTCACAAGTTTCCCGCGTCGGTGAATCTGATTCTCCATCGTGAAGTTGATGGTGGCATCGTATACGTGCTCACCGACAAACACCTTCATTTTGGACTTGTATTCTACGTCTTGAAAATACCGAATCATATCAGGGAACCAAACCGTCAGTCCATAGTAGCTGTAATAGAGAAGACAGCACATTCGAGCAGCAACATGCTTTGTGCTTTCATGATCAGAGTCCACATTCCTAGGCTGGGGTAAATCAAGCTCATTTTAAATGTATGAATATGGTTCATGATTAGAAACTTCAGTATTATCACTCATCACACAAACAGATCTAAGGAAAAAATCATAACCATCTCCATAGATGCTGAAAAGCCATGAGACTTTTTAAAAAATGTCATTCCTGATTTAAAGAAACACCAATAGATTGGGAACCGGCGGGCACTTCCTTAACACATAAGAAGATACACATCTCAGTTCAAAAAGGAAATGGTAAAGGCACTCTCACTAACATCAGAAACAAGACCAGGACACCTATTATCCCCACCACTGTTTAACACCACATCTTAGGTCTTGGCCAACTCCGTTAGGCAGGAGCAAAAACAGGAATCTAAAATTGTGAAGCAAGAGGTAAGACTATCTCCATTTCCTGGGATGACAAATGTATCGAATATACTGTTGAGTGCGAAAAGCAGATGTGGAACGCGTGTTCCTTTAAATAAGGAAATGAAGAAGAAATAAGAATGAGAAACTATGTCTATACCTCTCTGTTGTTTCAACATTTGAAATGCATTGCCTATTCAACAAAAATAAATCAGATGTAAGTAAATATAAATAAGACCTATTTTAGAACTATCAGAGAATTGAATCCTTGTGTTTACTATCTTTAGCTTCTCAAATGTTTCCTTCTCATTTAGACAGAGGAAGTGGGGGGGAATAGGGTCTGGTTTCCTTTCTAGCTTTACCTATTCGGGTCTCCATGAATAGGTATGGAGAGAAAGTAGGTCTCGCCATGTTCCTCCATGAGTCAAAGAGCTAATAGACCCCCTTTAATTTCCTTTGGGTACAAGTGACGGTGAACAAAGCAATTTCACAAACGGAAGTTTAAAATCTCATTGAAAGTTTCTCGCTGATAACAGCAATTTATCGAGCACTTATTAAGTGCCAGAAACTACTGCAAGCACTTTCTACCTACAGTAAATAGCCTCACAATGCGGTAAATGGCTGAAGTGGCATAAGGAGGGTCATTATATTTGGAGGGGCATGAAATGACAGGGATGAGAACCTACCAGTTAAGAGAGGAGCCAGCTAATCACCAATCCTGCTACATTCAATTTTCCTTATTGGGGGGGACATTATTGCAATGTTTCACTGTTTTATCTATTTAAAATCACAGTGCAACTGATGGCCGCCTACTCAGGCCTTGTTCCCTGCTTGTTCCTCAAGAACAGAAGCTAGATTTTGTTTCAGCAGCAATGGTATCTTTAGCTCAGAGGCCAATCCTGACTAGTCTGAAATCCCTGGTAAATCACATCCCCTTTGCCAGTGATTAGTTAGGCAGTAGGTGTGTGACACATCTGGCTAATAAAGCAGAGAGAAAGGCTGCTGGGGAGGGGGGTGTGCTACTGAGAAAGCATTCCTTGCTGTTAAAAAGAGAAGCTCGGGGGGCGCGTGGGTGGCTCAGTCGGTTAAGCGTCCGACTTCAGCTCAGGTCATGGTCTCACGGTTCGTGAGTTCGAGCCCCACGTTGGGCTGCCAGCTCAGAGCCTGGAGCCCACTTCAGATTCTGTGTCTCATTCTCTCTCTGCCCCTCCCCTGCTCACACTCTGTCTCTCTCTCTCTCTCTCTCTCTCTCTCTCTCTCTCAAAAATAAACAAACACTTAAAAAAATTGAAAATAAAAGGAGGAGCTCAGAGAGAGGCAGCCTCTTCCTCCTTGGAACATTTTCCCATTGGTGTTTTTGTTTGTTTGTTTTGTTTTGTTTTAATTTTGTTAATGTTTATTTATTTTTGAGACAGAGAGATACAAAGCATGAGCAGGGGAGGGGTAGAGAGAATGGGAGACACAGAATCCAGAGCCGGCTCCAGGCTGAGCAGTCAGCACAGAGCCCGACGCAGGGCTCGGACTCACAAACCCCAAGGTCACAACCTGAGCCAAAGGTGGACGCTTAACCGACTGAGCCACCCAGGCGCCCCACCCCCATTGTTGATGGGATGCCAAGAAGAGGTCAGGCATCTGGCCATCACCAGGAGAACTATAGGCTGAGGCTGAAATGCCACCTAGAGTCTGCCTCTCTGTGGAATTCTTGTTACAAAGGAGAAGACATGCCCTTGTTGTAGAAGCTACTAGAATGGGTTGCCTGTTACTTGCAGCCAAAAGCATCCAGACTCTATGTGTTAGAACTAATTGTAATCTTCGGTTTATAGATGAGGCACTTGCACAGGGAAATTAATGAGGTTAAGTAAGACAGAATTTACCTTAAAGCCATGGTGAACCAGACCACGGCCAGAATCAGTGTGTTCATCCTGTAGGGTCCCATCACGCAGTACATAGCATTATCCCAGACCTGTAATCCAGAGAAAAGTTATTAAAACAAGGGATTTGTGACCTGGAAGATCTCATTTCTTTTTTTTAAAAAATTTTTTTTTTTTTCAACGTTTATTTATTTCTGGGACAGAGAGAGACAGAGCATGAACTGGGGAGGGGCAGAGAGAGAGGGAGACACAGAATCGGAAACAGGCTCCAGGCTCTGAGCCATCAGCCCAGAGCCCGACGCGGGGCTCGAACTCACGGACCGCGAGATCGTGACCTGGCTGAAGTCGGACGCTTAACCGACTGCGCCACCCAGGCGCCCCTTTTTTTTTTTTTTTTTTTTTTTTTTTTTTTTTTTTTTGGAAGATCTCATTTCTAAGATGTTCTGATAAATTCGCAAGGAACCCAAGAGAATGGGGAACCACGGTCTCCTAGAGGCAGCAACGCTGTTCAAATAACAAAGAAAGCCTCTTTTCTCACTGCCTGGCCTCAGCCTCCAACATAACAGTCCTAGAGCATCTTCCCTGGGAACATGACAATATTCCACACATGTCATCAAAAGCACACTGAGTTGGGATTCTGAGACACTGAATAACCTTGAGTAGTGAGTTCTGCTCCCTGCCTGTGGGAATGGGTGATATTCCCAACATTTAACAGCCGTTCAAAACGAAGGTCATTGGCTGCCTCAGTGCTCGACAGCGACTTGACTGGAGAAGTCACTTCTCCAGAGAAATGGCCTTGCTCTACACAGAGACTTTCTCAGAAATCTCCAACACACTTCAAGGAATCTTCAACTTCATACACTCCTTTCTTTCTCTGAATTATGTAAAAAAGAAGATGCTAGAGAGAAGGATGTTTACTAAGAGTAGATGTTGCATCTGCGTACAAAATCTCTTCTTTGGGGAGGAAGAGCAAAGAAAAGCACTAAGGTTTAGAGAGTTTGGGGTTCAAGTCACCCAGGGAGTGAGAAGCTGGCATGAGCTACGTCCCAAACATGCCCGTCCAAGGTACTTCCTCCCATCACACTGCCTTGGGTTGATGGGGGCATTCAGGGTCTTTATCCTTCATCCACCGAAGTTACAGCTTGCCTACACCCTCTCATCTCCTGCATGTTCCCAGGCATACCTGCTTGAAAGTGGTCTTGAACCTGACCAGCCAGCGCTGGTACCAAGTTCCTGTTGAACTTTGGATCTCAATGAATTCATCCATTTGCTTGGGAGTTTTGATGTGGGACACCTGCAAAACAAAGACGATGGAGACAATCTTAACCCCGTTTTGTGTCACACTTTTCAATGTTTCATTTAGTGTAACTGACTTTACGTAAGTTATCAAGGGCTACGGGAGCCTTTGATGACCCTCTAGTTCAGTGATCTTAACCAAAGATGGACATGGCCTCTCTTAGGGCTCTTTCCCAGACAGGTACGTCCTACCGCAGACAAGATGAACCCATCTTTTCATTAGATCATGCTTTTGAGAAATTTATATTCGTCAGACATACTACACTGAATTCCCATCTGTATCTGATTTGCCTACACTAGAGTTGACTCCACCTTGAAATCCACAAATCAATCCTTAACAGGTATTAACTATTAACATCACAGAAGTCTAGGACCCATGTAAGCAATGGTGTGTGTGTGTTGGGGAAGGTGTTGCTACTTAAGATATTTGTTTAATGTTTATTTATTTATTTTGAGACCGAGAGAGAGAGAGGAGAGGCAGAGAGAGAATCCTAGGCACTGTTAGGGCAGAGCCTAATACAGGGCTCAATCTCACGAACTGTGAGATCATGATCTGAGCCAAAATAAACAGTCAGATGCTTGGGGTACCTGGGTGGCCCAGGTCACAATCTCATGGTTTTGAGTTTGAGCCCCACATCAGGCTCTCTGCTGTCAGCACAGAGCCCCCTTCAGATCCTCTCTTCCCCCCGCTCTCTGCCCCTTCCCTTCTAATGTGCTTTCTCTCTCAAAAATAAATTAAACAATTTTTTAATAAATAAAAAAATTTTTTAATTAAAAAAAAAGAGTCAGAGGCTTAACTGATTGAGCCATCCAGGTGCCCCACTACTGAAGATATTTTTTTAAAACACAGCAGAATGGAAGAAATCATGTCCTCCTTGCTGTCTCTGGTTTTCCTGGTAGAAACCAAATAAATGCAGAGTAGAGATAAGGTTATATATCTCAGCGCTCCCCCTCAAGCACCCTGCAAAGTGTTGACTTGTCCAATGTCACCAAGTAGCCCCTGTGAGCAATCCTGACTCACCAACACAGTGTCTGTCTAGTTAACCCATGTTTAAAGCAACCACTGAATTCTAGAACCAACCATCATGTCGGGGAGATTCCCAAACACACAAAGTCTTTTGAGCCAAGGTTCATGCTTGCAGACATATTCAGGGGGAAAACAGAAGAACATTCAAAAAAATTCAGAGTTTCCATCACCCTCTCCAACAAACTTGTCTAAGGATAAAGGTTTTAGTCACAAGAGTGTCTCCATCGCTTTCTTCGGCCATCTGAGAACGTGAGGACACGTGAGGAGACAGGGCTGGAAGTCCACAGGGAAAAATCAGACCCTGGATATGGACAATGGACTCATTAACTCTGAGCACTAGGTCGAGGACAGCACAGCTATGCCTTTCTAAACCCTAAAAGCAGTAATTCTTAAACCTGGGGGAGGGCCGGGCACCTCTTGGAGAATCTGGTAAAAGCATCTTCCTGAAATTGGAGGGACATGAGCACACTGAGAGCCTCCTGGGTGTGTCCAACCATCCACAGGTGCGTGTCCATTGCCAATCTCTCTGCCTGGGGACACAGGAGGGTGAACACACAGGTCCTGCAACAGAACTCTCGGCTGGAGCTGGGCTTCATGTTATCAGACACCTGCAGGGAAACCATGAGCCCTTGCTGCAGCCAAAAGAGGTCAGAGGGGAAGGCTGACACCAAAATCAGGAAGCAATCAAAAATCGGACTCCAAAGCATTAAGATGGACACTCAAATGCAATCTTTTCCCTTCGTTGCTCCTGGGGGGAAAAAATAACACCCTATTCCCCAGGGATTTAGGGATTGAGTGTATTAACAATTTCAAGCAAAACTACTCTAATTTACAATTAACTAGGATACTTGTCTTTGATTGGGTCTAAATCAGGACATGGCCTGTGTTCACCCCAGCCGTGCAGAACATTTCACTGGGGACACCTGCCAGGGGGCAGTTCCGAAACTTGGGAGGCAGTCAGTAAATGGGGTGGCTGAAATCTAGGGCTTTGTAGGGAAGCAGAAAGTTCTCCTCACCCCTCTTAGCATCCCAGGCTGGGTGTGAAAATTAAACTGACAAAGATAAATTAACAGGAGAAAAACCTACACGTTCGATTGAATTTTAACATGTACAGGGAGCCTTCCAAAGAGAAGGAAGAAGTGAGCAGAGCAGAAAGCTTTTATTCCTTTTAGATCAGGAACCAAGGAATTTGTAAAGAATTGACAAGACAAAGGGGTTTGGGCTAAGAGTAGCAAATGGTGAAGAAGTAACTGGGACCAAAGCGTTGATTTACAAACAAATGTTTGTTTACACAGCCTTCTCGTGATCCCTCCCCCCCATCTCTGGTGATAAGAATGTCTTCTTTCCTCCTGGTACAGGGACAGTAACTTCACACAGCAGATTAACGACCTGTTCCAGGGAAGAAGGGTGAGTGGGGAGAGGTCAGAGTGACCTTCCTGCCTCTGCCATTTTCCCAAACTCCTTCAGTTTAAGACACTCAATATGCCAAGGTGCCATGTTTTAGGGTAGCGTGTCCTGAATCCCGGCAGCTCAAAGGCGAAAGCGAGGACCCGAGGACCCGGCATCTGTTGCTCTCCTGCTCATGCCTTCATTAGCTGCGGGGAGCACTTGGGACCAAAGCAGTTAACCCCATCCGGCTGGAGTTCACTCCAGACTGCCACTGCTCTCTGACCTGTCAGCACTTTCTGCTTGTTCTTTCTTTTCTTTCCCCCTGGCCCATCCACTCACCCACTTCTACATAATTAAGAGGATTACAAAGTCAGCAGGAAATGCTGAGGCCACAACCTTTTTAATTCTCTTTCCTGTTAGAAGAAAACTGCTAAAAGCAGGGGTGATGCCTAAAGACTCGTGGACCAGCATGTGGGCTGGAGTAACAAAATGCCCACGGGTCACAGTACCCACCTCCCCACTCAGGGATCCCCGCCTGAACTCTTCCTCGAGATACACGTCCATCCCCAAGGTGAGGGGCTCTAGGGCGCGAGGGAAAGGCTGAGTTTTTGCCTTTGAAAACCAGAGGCTTCCGGTTTATTGATTTCCAGGCTGAGACCTCCTTCCTCAAAATTAGGCTGCTTAAGGTTGAACACGTTAAGAGAGAATGTGGGATTGCTTCCCTAAAAACCACTCCTGGTCTGGCAAGCCCACACGGTTGATTTAGAAGAGGTCCTTCCAGAAGCAGCAGTCAGGGAAGCCACCGTGTGTCAGATACCGCAGGGCCACCTGGGTGAGACGGAGGCCAGGAAGAGTTTACAGCTACAGGGAAAGGCAGGGACAGGTGCACAAATGAGGCAGAGAGCAATCATCCAGCAAGACACCTCTCAGGAGGGTTCTGGGTTTGCTTGGAGTAAATACACCAACAGACTGCTTGAGGGCTCAGGGAATGACAGAGACCAGTGACCTGTGGCGCATGAGCCAGAGGGAGGGCAGGGGAAAGAGAGAGAAGGCTAAAAGGCAGGAGGAAAAGTGGGGGAAGGGGAAGAAGGCTGTGTGCTCTGTGAGGAAGTGCCTCAAATTGTCAGGAAGGCTATTAAACTCGCAAATGCCTGGTACAAATGACGTGTGTCTGTGTCTGTTTGTGTGTGCATGTGTCTTTGTGTCTGTGTGTGTGTTTGTACACATGTGTCTGTGTGTCTGAATGCGTGTGTGTGTCTATACATGTATGTCTTTGTGTCTGTCTCTAAGGAATAAGCAGGAGCTTGGAGAACAGTCTGTGGAATGGGTGGGGATGGGGGGGGTCAGGACAGAGCCAAGCATGCCCAGTGGGCAGGGAGCCCCACTAACATCTAGCGTCCACACCTGCAGGATTACAACCCATCGCAGACAGCGGTAGGGGTGGGGGTCCTGGGAGAACCATGTACGCCCTTAACATCTTTCATTTTGAGTGTTTCTGTTAGTCAGTCATGCTTCTTAATAAATGGGTGTCATAAAAGCACTGGTCTCATATTTTAGATATTTTTAGGAGCATTGGAATCGACAGAAACAGGCCATTGAACAGCAGCCATTTATTGCTTGGTTTAGTTTATGAAAAATAACAGGTCATAACATTTTTGAATAATAATTAACGCTTATGTAGCCCCTACTCCAAGGCAGATAGATACTGGCTTAGGTCATTTATTCAATCCTTACCAAAACCATATTTACAGATATTATTATCGGGTTTTTTTCCCAAGAAGGAAACTGAGGCAGAGAGAGTGGCTTGCCTAAGCCCACACAGCCAGAAAGTATCAAAACTGGGATTTGGACCCAGACTGTCTTGCTCTGGGTTGTGGATTCTTAGCCACCACATGGTCCTGCCTGAGCCTTGGGGCTTGTAAGCAACAGTTAACAAGGACAAGTGTTCGGTCCAGAATCGATGGCAGAGGCCAAAGAAGCGAACGCAGGGAATCGGAGCTGGAGGCGGCTCCCCCGGGAAGGGCTTCCTTGTGGAAATGGATTTGAAGTCAGCCTGAAAGGAAGTTATGCAAACAGGTGCTCAGAGACCCTCAGCGAGCCATTCCTCCCTCACCGGCCACAGACCTTGGCCAGGGGAGCAGAGACCGTGGTAACTAACAGGACATCTTCGTCGTGGAAACTGACGCTCACAAGTTCTTCACTTATTAAACCAGCAAGAAACAACATTCAGCCTAAGAGAAACGGCTCTCCTGTTGCTTGCAACACTTAGATTGGCACAATCCGACTGAAATGTAATTTGGCAAGATAACTCAAGAGCTATAAAAATCCTAGTGCTTTTTGAGCCAGTCATTTTATTTCTAGGAGTCTAGTTGGAAAACCAACCCCAGAACTGGAAGGGGAAGCAACCACGAGGGTGAGAAGGTTCACTGCAACAATGTTAACAGGAACAAAGTAACAAAACAGGGTAAATAAATTTCTAGTATTCCCGGACATGTCCAGAGAAACCGTGTTAATGTTCCCAACATTAATGTTTATTAAAAGGATAATTCTGTGGGGTGCCTGGGTGGCTCAGTAGGTTAAGCATCTGACTTCAGCTCAGGTCATGATCTCGTGGTTCGTGGGTTCGAGCCGCACGTTGAACTTTGTGCTGACAGCTCAGAGCCTGGAGTCTGCTTTGGACTCTGTGTCTCCCTCTCTCTCTGCCCCTCCCCTGCTCATGCTCTCTCTCTCTCTCTCTCTCTCTCTCTCTCTCTCTCTCTCTGTCTCTCTGTCTCTCAAAAATAAACATGTTTTAAAAAGGATAATTCTGAGACAACAGACAGAATGCTTATGAGTACTCTTAAAAATATGTCGATGTAAATATATGTACATATGCCTATCCCCATAGAAGGTCAGGGGTTTTATTGTATACTTCCTTTGTCCAATTAATATAATAATAGAATAAAATTAATTCTTAGCAAGACAAAATAGTGAAAAAGGACAGTCCCCCCCTTTGTTGGCATAGATGCCACACACTCACCGTGAACACCTTCTCGGGGGCCCCCTTCGCCCTCATGTTGGTGTCATGCACTTGCTTGAGGATCATCCAGGCTTCGTCGTGTTTGCCCATCTGGTTAAAGCAAGCATAGAGGAATGAGAAACCTGTGGCTGAGTAGGGGTGGAAACCCTATGCATCTGAGTGTGTGGTGATTAGACAGGGACTCGCGGCCATCCAGGGCTCGTGAAGGACTAGGACTAATGTCCGCCCCCAGCCCATCTTGGAAGGATAACAGGGTAGCGCCTTCCAGGTGCAAATGGGAGGCACTACTCAGGGCGCCTGGGTGGCTCAGTTGGTTAAGTGTCCAAGTTCGGCTCAGGTCATGATCTCACGGTAGTTCGTGGGTTCGAACCCCGTGTCGGGCTCTGTGCTGACAGCTCAAGCCTGGAGCCTGCTTCATATTCTGTGTCTCCCTCTCTCTCTCTCTGCCCCTCCCTCGCTCAT